GTAAAAATAAACTATTATATTAAAATAAAATCTAAGTAATATCAAATGCCCATCAATGGTAGAATGGATGAAGTAAAAAAAAAAAATAGAATGTTCACAGTAAGAAAAAGGAATGTATGTATGTATGTTAGTATATAGTTCAGATAACATTAATTAAAAAGAAGCAATAATCAAAATGATATAGACCATGATTCATTCATATAATGTGATAACAGGCCAACTAGATTAGTTCTTCATGGAAGGCAACAGAAATTTATACCAAAAAAATATGGAAATAATTATCAGTTATGTCTGCATTGCTACTTGTATATGTGTATGTACTTTCTGTATTTTTTCCTTGCATATACTGATATTTTGTAATAAAAGATCAACAATAAAATTTTTTAAGAAATAAAGGAAAAATTGAAGATCACAGGATCCTTGTATGCATAGCATAATACAGTATGTTGAAAAGGGGCAGAGTCAGATAGAGGAATGAAAGGCTGGCAAGGTGTGATTCAGATGCCCAGTTAAAAGTAAAAACTCTAGCAGTGGAGCTATTTGTTTCAAATGGTTTATACAAAAAGTTTTCAAATTAGAAAGCTTATTGTTTATCTACCATCACTAGATGCTATATCGATTTGTTCTTAAAAATAGTTAGAGCACCATGAAGAATAAAGTGTTTCTGTCCCATCTCAAAACAAACAAAAACCCGGAGACAAGTGTTTTCAAAATATGAGGAAAAAGGAATCTTCATACTTATTGGCAAAACTGTAGAATAGTTTGTCTAGGCCCTCTAAATAACAATATGGAAGTTTCTCAAAATATTAAAACTAGATCTAGCATATGATCCAGCAATTCTACTCCTACATATCTGCTCAAAGTATGCAAAAAACATGAATTTAAAAAGCTGTATGTGCTCCAATGATCCCTGGTGACTACTGCAGCACTATTTATAATAGTCAACGTAAGTAGCCACAGAAAGATGAGTGCCTTCAGAAGATGTGGCATGTATATACAATGGAATACTAGTCAGCAATGAAAAAACTTGTCATTTTCAATAACTTTTTAGTCACAAGACACAGCAATATTAATGTCTTTTCTTTAATTCTTTTACTTTGTAGGTAATTAAAATCCATAGGCAGGTCTTCCTCTGTATATTAGAAAAGTAACATGAGAAATCTATCCAAATATAGGCATTATATATTAGGGAAAACAAAAAGAAAGAAATTATATTCCCTTGCATTAATTCTATTCCCTCAGCATTAATGAAATATAAAATATGGAATAATGGAATATGATGGAAAGAACTCCTAACTAGGTTTGCCTTGTTATTGTCATTTTGGCCTCTTAAGATAATTGTATAAGTAATTTTCAGCCCCTTTTGTAATCTAATCAATGCCATTTTAAGATAAATTTTCCTCTGGTTATTGCTTTCTTTGTAGTTTTTGTTAGTGTTTTAATCATTAATCTCTAATAGAATTATATTCTGATTTTTTTATAGTTAAAGGCCACTTAGATGATTATTTTTTAATTTCCAAATGGATAACTTGGTTTTGTCTTCTTCCTTGTTCTTTTGGCAATTATTTTGCTTTCTGAATTTCTAATTTGTTAAATTCTGGTCAATAAATATGACCTGCACTGTGTATGCTACTGGAATTTGTTTAAATAGTCTATATACTCTAAGTGATGGTACATTTCGGTGAATATTTGGTGTTTGGGAGAAAATACACTGTCATATGTAAATAGGCCAATCCATAAATTAGATCATTCTGAGTAATTACTTTAACACACTCTACATATCTACTTTTAGCTCCCTTGATCAGTGAATTTATGATTGGCAACTGTACCTTTAATTTCTGTCATTATGTAGTTTGAAACTATGTTGTTGAATCATAAATTCACAACTCATATCTTCCTAATTGAATGTATCTTTTAACAACGTTTGTTTCTTTAAAAGATTTTTCCCTTAAATTACCTTAATTTAAATATCGCTAGCCCTACATTAGCATTTTAAAACTTGATCCTAAATTACAGTGATTTAAATATTGCTAACCCTACATTTTTAAAAATCTTTCCCTCTAACCTAATAAAAATATTGCTAAATGATGTTTATAACATTTTTATTGTATTTTCCTGCCTTTATTTTCAAACCTTCTATACTTTTTTCCTGTCTTTTGTTTTTTCCCATATTTGTGAGGTAATTTAATGAACAAATAACAAACAAATACAAACTTTCATATACAAAATAAACTGCCGCATGCCTGGCAACCTGAGAGCCAAGATCTAAATTTTCTTCCACAAATTTCACTGGGAGCAGAGTGGGAAAAATATAAATCCTAAGAAGAACAAAATTGAATTTCAATTTTAACTATCTATACATCTATAAATATAAACTGCTGTGGAAAATAGCTTTAAATTGAATGTCTTCCTTTGAAATAAATAGCTCAGGCTATTCCATACAATTCTCAGATTTATGATCAACCAGATCTGAAATATAAATGAAAATTTAGGATTTATAATTACTTCAAATCCTGTTTCAGAAGTAGCTAAGTCACCTATTTTCAGAAATGTACATCTCTTTAGGATGTCCAGGACACTGTTCCAAAGATTCTTGGATAGCCATTTTTCTTACCCACAGTTCCACTTTTTTATGACACCAGCCCTATGCAGCCTTGTCTGATTTCCTGCTAAATAGAGGACTGTACACCACCATGCTTCTCCTTTTTCAAGTCTCAAAAAATAATTAAGACCTCCAGTTTCAAATTGGCAGTTACTTCCTCGGTGTTAAGAGCAATTAATGATTCTACCTCCCTCAACTGATTTTTTCCTATCTCCAACAGAGACTGTAAGCTTAATTAAATTCTTTTCAAAAATTAATAATTCAAATTTTAAAATTTAATTATAAAAAAGCAGCAGGAAATGACCACTTCCTTTATGTTCACAAATGAGTGAATAGCTATACAACAGAATACCAATAAGCCATAACTAGGAAACACTGATGTACAAAACAACATGAATTTCAAATACATATGCTAAGCAAAAGATGTTAGACTCAAAAGGTTATATCCTATATATTATTTATTTGACTTCAATATTATAGGGACAGAGAATAGATCAATGGTTGTCTGACATGGTAGCTAATTTTGTGTCAGCTTAACTGGGTCACAGGGTGCCAGGCATTTGACTAAATATTATTTCTAGAGGGTGGGGTTGTTAGTGTATTTGCAGGTGAGACTAGAATTTGAATATGTAGACTCAGTAAAGAGATTAACTTCTCCAATGTGGCATACATCATTCATGACCAAATAAGGGCCTAAATAAGACAAAAGGAAGAGGAAAAGAGAATTTATTCCTTCCCTACCTGACTGTGAACTGGGACATCAGCCTTCTCCTGGACTTGGAATGGGATTTACACAATTAGCAACCCCATTTCTTGGGTTTTCAGACTCAAAATGAATTATATCCTACGCTTTCCAGGATGTCCAATTTGCAGACTGCAGATTATGGTAATTTTCAGTCTCCATAATTGTGTGCACTGATTCCTATAATAAACAATAAAATAAATAGAAAAATGAATATATACATAAAAACTCTGAAAGAGTGATTTAATAAATTACAGCACATATCCTATAAAATACTATACACAACAATGAAAACAAATATATTGTAAGGAAAAAAAGAATATGTAGACACTGCATCAACAAATGTTAATATATATATAACCTAGAAAGGTATCGGGAAGCATCTACAAGTAATTTTAAAAGAGGCAATATACTGCTTATCAAGTACAGGATGGATTGTAATCATTCATCTACATTTCTGTACTGTATTATAGCAAATCTGAATGTTGAAACTTTAAAGTATCATGTATTTGACTTACACAATTTTAACCAACAGCCTTTCTTCAGGTTAAACCGAAACCTCCTCCAAAAAAAAAAAAATATTCTTATATTGCCAGGTCTGATTTATTTAGCTGTAATATTTAGTTATAACATTTTGTCACGTCTCTCTCACATCACATCTGGCTTGCATTTTGTCTCACATATAGAAAATGCTCCTAATTTTCTGCCTCTAGACAGACTGCAGGAATATAGTAAATTTGGAGATCTGGGTGTGTGACACACAGAAGGACCTCAGTTCCTATTCAATTGCCAATGGTCCTTTAAACCTTAGGAGTAGTACAGAATTGGTAGAGAAGAGGTTAGTAAATATTTATTGTATGAATGATTTAAGATAAGTATCCTCTAATATATAAACAGCACAGCAATTATATATATCTCATATCACCTTAATTTAAAGACTGGAGATAGACACATAAACATTTTCAGAGTTCAGGTTTCCTAGCCCACGATTACGTCCCACTAATGGAAGAAGTGAAAACCAAGGTAACACACAAAACCACCCAGAGGAAGTCAGGGTACAGCGTCTCTGGTACTTGGCTGGGATGGGAATATCAGATGGGCCCCAAGCTGCTTCATTTATGATGAAGGAGAAGGATGCACCAGAATCTTGAAAAGGTGCCAACCATCTAAAGGAAAATGCAAGGCTGGAGGAACTGTGGAGACGCTGTAGAAAAAGACGTGATGCTTACAAGAACAGAATAAAGTATTTCAACAGTAGAACGCTAACGTTTTACTCGTTTAAATGAGCATCCAAGAAATCAATGGGGACCAGACAATTCACGTCATCTGCAAGCGCCCCAACCCCGGTAATTGAGGAAAAGCTGACGCACTATGAGGTCACGTGACAAACTGTGGTCCACCTTCCCGTAACTCTAAGAAAAGGTGGGGAAAAGTTGATCTGTACTAAGTAAATAAGAGTTTAGAGGTATATGTTGTACATTATTTGGTTCTATGTTTTTTTTACCTTTTTCACGTGTGTCCTAGTTTGACATTGCCAAAAAAAAAAGATGGCGGCAAGGTGCCGGGTCCTACCATAGAGGCATAGGCTAGAGGAACCCGTGCGTGAAAACTGTGGGCGGAAACACACGCTTGGTCTTCCGGCCTCCGTAGAAGACGTCCGGGGCGGGGCCTGCACTCGCGAGTTCCGGCATCTGCGCGAAGATGGTGGAGGAGGAGACTCTCCGCGTGGTTCGTTGTGGCGGCAGCGAGTTGAACTTCAGGAGAGCGGTGTTCTCTGCGGATTCTAAGTATGGGGCCACCGCACGTTGTCGGTGGGGCTGGGCGTGCGTCCCCGGGGATCTTAGGGAAAGAACTGTCAGGCGCGTCTGGACTCGCCAATCGGCTAATTTGGGCTCGGAGAAGAGTTTGCTTGGGGGTGAGGGGATTATGCTGAGCACGCGGGAGGGAGGCGGTATACCTTTAGGCACAAAGTGCAAATTCGTCTGGCCCCCCGTATAGCACTTCTATACCTAGAATGGGTTGGGCAGTAGGGGACACTAGAAAGTAGTTGGGGTGGATGTTTGTGTCACTTCTCTTGCAACACCACAGTATCCCCCTTTCAGACACATTGTTACTTGAAATCCTGCACCTTTAAAGATTACACGTTCTTCCCTTGCCTCCCCAAAAGGCATTTTGGCAACCGTTTGAAGCTTTGTATGAAAACTGGTGTTAGGTTCTGTGCAAAAAATAAAAGCATGAGTCTGTACCCTTTCCTCGGGAGTTTATAAACATATATCAAAAAACCTTTGTTTTAAACTCAGTTCTTAATTTTGTGTGACCATTGCAAGTTTTTTTAACCTTAGTTGTCTCATCTGTAAAATAGGAGTAATCTTTAGTATCCATTTCATAGGGATTTTTGAAGAATTTATCAAGAAAGAACTGGGAAAAATGGAGGCTTACATTTAGGTGTTCAGTTTTCTTCCCACGCCTTACTCACTGTAGAGAGACCCAGTGTATTTCATTTACTGAGTCCTGCAGTTCATTTCTAAGTATGTTTCATTGTGTTTTATGTATGACAAATGCTATGGTAATTCAGGAGCTCCTATGAAGAGAGAGTACTTCAAACTGGCAAAGATGGAGAAAGCTGATGAGTAAGTGACATTTAGGCTAGCTAGACTAGGAGGGGTGGATAGTATTTTGAGTATTTGTAAGAGATTTGAACAGAAAATGTTGCATATAGGGAGCTTTAATATAAATAAGAGTAAAAGCCTCTTTATAGTGAACAAACTCCATACAGCACTGTTAAACTCTTCTGCTTACCTAGTTGTTGTTAGTAGAGGCAGTCAGGGGAGAGATGTGTGAATGGTATACATGAGTATACATTGTTAGTCACACCCCAGGTATTTCTAACTTCTGGGTCCAGTACTGTAAACATCACATCCTAATTGCTCCCACAACTCTGTGTTGGTATGCATTGTAGCATTTAGTTGCTAAGATACAGAAAATAAAGCAGTAGGTCATTATTATGTCCCAAATGACCACAGATGTAGTGTCCTGATTCTGAATAATTTTTTCTTGCAAAACCGTTTTACTGCTGTTATGGTAGTTTTCCTGAGGTATAATTATCACCTTGCTCCTAATTGTGCTCAGAACCCCTAGCAGTCTTCTGTTGCTTTCCATACCAGCAGCTCAACTTTCGGTTGTCAGGGCTTTCCCTGATCTAGCTTAGTGCCAGTTATTTCAGTTGTGTTTCATGATCATCCATTGTGCATGCTTTGCATGTTAAATAATGCATTCCTTGTCATTCTTACATGCATTATTTACCTGCTTCTGCTTATAGTGCTATTCTTTACTTCTAAACTCTTAAATCACCCACCCTTCAAAGTCACATGTAAATCCTGCCTCCTACTTAATATATCTTTAACTTCTTGTTTCTCCACTTCATCAACAAAGATGTACCCACCTTGCTCATCACTGCCTAACAGGGTGTAATCTGGTGGATGGCAGGGTGGATGGCGTTGAGAACCTCTTGATAAAGCACAGTGCTGAAATGAAAAGATTGATCCAGTCAGACTGGGGTCAAATCACGGAAGGCCTTAGGAGTCTGAAATACATCCTAAATGCAATGGGAAAACATTGAGAGGTTTAAGTTATTTTTATCTTTATTTGCAGAAGTGAAATGGCCAAACTTGCAGGTTTAATCTGGTAAGAGTATGAATGATAAGTTGAAACATCAAACTTGGAGACTATAGGAAACCTTATAAGTGGTCAAGGCTGAAGATAGACTGAACTAAGATGCTCATAATTACAGAGAGGAGAATCCAGCCACAGCAGAGACCATATACCTCAGCTGTTTTATTCATACTGTCTTGATCTTCAACTAGATAATTTCACTCAACCATACCTTGACTATCTCTGGCTTCAGTGCTTATAAAATACATTCTGATTTTAGAAAAGGGAATATTTGAAAACTCCAGAATTTTAGACTGGATAAAACAAGGTAAAAGCATCAGAGATATAGTCTGTTTCCTAACATTTTTTTATTAATGAACTAATCAATCTCAGATATCCCTGTACACTTAAAAACACTACACAATTTAAATAAATCTCAAACTGTTGTTCTGAAAGAATCTTGTACTGCATGTTATTTCTTTTTTAAATAGATCATAAAAAGATTAGATTATTGAAATACCTCCCTTTTTGCAGGTACATCTTCTGTGTCTCTGGAGACTTTGTTAAAGTTTATAGCACAGCTACAGAAGAATGTGTACACATATTGCAAGGACATAGAAATCTGGTCACTGGAATCCAGCTCAATCCCAACAACCATCTACAGGTGTCTTAATATTTTATAACTGGACATTTTAATACTTTTATTGTTGCCAGAAAAGAATGAATTGAATTGAGAAACTCTCCAAAATACCACTCACTTTTAGTTATTAAAATAAGGGCACAGCCTCAAGCTGCATTGCTGGCAAATGTAACAAACATCTGAAAACATAAATACTTGGCCATAACAGTAAATTGCTTGGTTAGATGTTGAGAGGAAAGCAAAAATAGAATGTATATTTGGGTCGTGTGGGAAAGCCACTACACTGATTTCAAGAGTAGCTGATTTAATTTTGGGAAGGAAATGGATATTTCCAAGATATTAACAGGTGCTCCTTAAAAAAGGATTTCTTGGCAGTATCAAGTTTCTGAAATTTAGGATTAGACACAGTTAATTGAATTTATTCATTATAGATCTTCAAAGGTCACCTTTTTTATGCATTATGAATATCCAAAAGATGTATAGAGTTTTTAATATTTCTCAAAGTTATTTAACATCGTGTACTCTGGGTTCTGGAACATATTTTAAAATGTTGGCATAAATGCACTGATTTTGTAAATCTAATCCTTTAATGGTGAGGCTCCTTAGGGCTAATGGAAATGTTATTTATATTTAAGGCTAGACAAGGAAAGGGTTTCTTTAATAGTGGGTGTACCACTTAATTTCAGGACAAGCTTAGGAATCAAGTGGAGTCCCAACCACTTCACTATATAAGAAGCCCATTTCTCAAAATTCAAGAATAATGAAATAATCATTTTAATTCTGTTCTTAAGTTTCAGTAAAGCTATTTTACTCTTCTAGTTTTTTTTTTTTTTTTTAAAGATTTATTTATTTGTACATACAGAACTGGGGTACAGGCCAGAGGCTCAGGGGTGGTGAGAAGCTTCACCAGAGACAGAGTGGGGAGCAGAACAGGTAGATCAACGAAGTACACTGCTGAGGGGAGCAGCGGGCGGGCCAGGAGAGGTCTGCCACGCCATGTGGTCTCCTCCGGGGCAGGCGGGAATTGAACTCATGCGGAAGTGGCTTTTTAGCTTCTCAGTGCAGCGCTTTAACCCGCTGCGCCAACAGGGAGGACCATTACTCTTCTAGTTTTTAATGAACTTCCCCTTTTCTGGGTTAGTCACAGCTAACTTGGAAGATAATGCTTGCTTTACAGTGGACTTGCATTGCCCTTCCCTCTTTACCAGTCTGGGCCCTCCCTAGTGGCACAGTGGGCTAAAGCACAGCACTAAGCTAAAGCTAAAGCCTCTTCAGCACGAGTTCCATCTCCCACCCCAGAGGTGACCCACATGGCGCTGTAGTCCTCCTGACCGGCTCACTGCTCCCCTCAGCAGTGTACTTCATCAGTCGGCCTATTCTGCTCCCCACTCTGTCTGTGGTGAATCCTCTCACCATCCCTGCACCTCTGGCCTGTACCCCAGTTCTGTATGCTTAAATAAATACATCTTTTAAAAAAAATAATAATATCAATCTTTCCTTCCCCAAATTAAATCAGCTGCTCTTGAAATCAAATTGCAGTGTTGCAGTGACTTTTCTACAAATTCCAAGTATATATATACATAAAGTGTGTGTGTGTGTGTATACACACACTATATATATATACACACACACACTATATATATGTGTATATATATAAAATCTTTGCTGCCCTCTGAAGGTTTGACCAAACTATCATGTTCACATTACAGTTTGTAATTGTACATTAAGGTTTATAGTAAAGCAGTCAGATACACATTGCATTAAAGATGTACTTCATGTGGCTGAATTAATAAAATTAGAGGAGGATAATATTAACAGTAGATTTGGTTAAGGAAGCATGTACTTATGCACTTCAGAGTCACAGTAAACAGGACATTCTCAGAGTGCTCAGGCACTCCTTTAATACCTCTTAAGGTGAAAGTGCTAATAAAAAGCACTGAACTCTGGGAGAAATGGCAGCAAGGTCTTGAGTGCTTTTAAAAACTCAGTGCCTTTATCATTCCTCTTGTCAGCACAGAAAATGGATTCTCCCCACCTTCATTTTAGGTAAAACTTGAAAGAGCTGCTATTAAATTGTTTATTTTGCATTCTAAGTAAACTCATAAAGGCTTAATAATTAATGAATAAAAAAGTCAGCATTTATTCCTTTAGTATCTTGATAACATTGTTTTTTAATAATTTTGTGTTACCTTTGTAGCTGTATTCTTGTTCCTTGGATGGCACAATTAAACTGTGGGATTATATAGATGGCATTTTGATAAAGGTATGTGAATTGATACTCATTTTTATTATGTCAAAAAAATGACACCATAATTTAATGACAGAAATACTCTTCTATAAAGCCTAGTCTTTAGATGACCTTCCTAATAACCAAGTCACATACCATAATAGACAAATTGATTATATAAAAATTTTAAACTTTTAGCAAAAATGATATTAAGGTGGGTAGAAAATACTTAGATATTCCTAATGTACAAAAAAATTGGAAAAATTTATAATCTGGTGCAAGAATAATAGCATACTATAAGAAGTACATAATTCACAAAATAGGTAGCCAATAAACATGAAATATGAAAACAAATGAAATATGTTAAAACAAATGACAATATTTTTCCTTATTTGTTCAATCTAATTGCACATTGGAGAAATGCTAGTGATAGGTAAAGTGTAGAGAAATACTTTTTTATACAATCAAGGATAAAACTGAACATAAATACCTTTTGCACTAGCAAGCTCACTTTTAATGGCATGTGTGTGGTCTTATACACATTTGTGATAGAAAAATGTGAATGTAAACTTTGTATCTTAAAATTTGATATTCATTCCATAGAATACTGTACACCATTAAAAAGAAACAGCTACTAAATAGGTATTTATAATTTACCAATTTATATTGAGCATCTTCCTTTTTATTAACTGAGGTATAATTGACTTTTCAGAGAAGGGATTTGATGTCCATATGTATATTATATAAATATCTTTATAAGATCACCACAATAAGCCTGGTTAGTGCCCGTTACCATCAATTGAACAAAAATCCTTACGCTTGTGTTAAGAACTTTAAGCCTTTACCCTAGAAACTGAAATAATGTAATGCAGTATTAGTAACATAGTCACTATAGTGTACATTATATTCCTCAGACTTAAAATTGAATGGCTGTATCTTTTGACCCCCCTCCACCCTTGTTGTGTTGGGTGCCTTTTATAGAACATAGTGGGTATAGCAGTAAACAAGGTGGATTAAATTGATTATGGAACTTATGTTCATGGAGGAAGGTGGTGCAGGCAGTAATATGGTGCTTTTTTTTCCCCCAGACTTTCATTATTGGACAGAAACTTCATGCCCTCTTTACTCTTGCCTGTGCTGAGGAATCTCTCTTTGTGATAATAAATAGTGAAAAACCAGGTATAGTATAAGTAGCTTATTTTATTTTTTACAGCTTTTAGTGGATCTTTGTATTTTATGATCTCAGAATTTTCCACTTTTAAGTCTTATATTAACAATTTCTGGAGTGGCATTTGAATTGCTTTCTTTATGACTGCATTCATTTTGAGGAAACTTCATATCGGTTCTGAAATAAGCTGTGAAGGAATGATTACTTTTATATGTGTTAAAGCCCTTTAGAGGTTGTTTTTTTTTTTTTTTTTAAGATTGATTTATTTATGCATAAAAGAACTGGGCATAGGCCAAAGATGCAGAGGGTGAGGGGATTCACCAAAGACAGTGGGGAACAGAAAAGGCCAATCGACTGAAATACACCGCTGAAGTGTGTGAGGTCTGCTGCACCATGTGGGTCACCTCCCTAGTAAGGGATTGAACTGGAACTTCACAGTGCTGTTTTTAAACTTGTGCCACCAGGGAGAGCCCAAGAGCATAAATTTTAAAGGGGTTTGCAAATGTAGCTAAAATTTGTTCTGCTGAACTTAATCTGTCACACTTAAGCACCTCTATCATCTTACGCATTGAAACACCCATTTGTTGATATTTAATCTCTAGGAATTGGTGTAGAAAGTAGGTTGATATTAACAATAGTGTGATTTCCTTATTATCAATTCATAATCCATTATCTCTCACCTGGATTCCTCCATCTGCTACCTAACTCTAGGTATAAGTAATGGCGTTAAACTTCCATTTAAAATGTATACATTAAATATTGTCTGACTGGCCTTCCCTGGTGACACAATGAGTTAGAACACAGCACTGCAAGTAGAAGTGGTGGCAGCTTCAGTGTGAGTTCGATCCCCTGCCCGGAAGGTGACCCACATGGCGCTGCAGCCTCTCCAGACCCGCCCACCCCTCAGCAGTGTACTTCATTGATCTGTCTGATCTGCTCCCCATTTTGTCTCTGGTGAAGCATCTCACCACCCCTGTACCTCTGGCTTGTACCCCACTTATATATGCATAAATAAATAAATCTATAAATAAATGAAAGAATGAATAGATAGATAATATTATCTGACTATAATGTGCATTTTGTTAAAGATAACCTAAAATGACTACTTTGTCATCAAATTCTAAAATACGATTGACAATCTCACAATTATATAGATCCATTCACTTTCATAGAAATGCCTTGTAATAATATAGCATCTTTTGGCTAGACATATATCAGCTGGCTTCCGTGAAGCTACCAAAGTCAACAAGCCAGGAAATAGAAGCTAAGGAGCTCTCCTTTGTTTTGGATTACATAAACCAGTCACCTAAGTACATTGCCTTTGGAAGTGAGGTAAAATTTGTTCTGTTTGGATTTCTTTTTGTTCATAAAGTCTCTTCCCTGCAGTATCTCTGGAGTATTTTTGTTAGATTTAATGTTGACTTGAGCAGAATAATTTTGTAAGCTACAAAAAATCTTCCATTTCTTGAGTATGTATTTATGATAAAGAATTTTCAAGAAAATTCTGATTGTGAATAATCTGTCTTTAGTGCTTTCATAAACCCTCTAATTGTCCCTAAATGTTTCTTAGTGTGTCCCTCACAAAACGTGACTCAAATTCTTTCATTTTAAACTCTATGTCCTTCGAACATTTGACTTCCCTGCCCATAATTATGCCCATTAATCGAAATTTGGAAATTACAGAAGAATATAATGAAGAAATTAATCTCAGCAATGATAATATTTGAGAAATCTCTTTCTAGACATCTCCCAAACTGAAGTAGTATCTGGGGACCTTTTCTCTTTCACATAATATTGCAGCATGAGTGTGTACATAAATATTCATCAGAAATGACTATGTGATACAACAGGATTTATTTAGTCATCCCCTATTGGTAATCACTTTATTTTAAAATCAAATACCATCATAGCCTGTAGACATTATTGTAGTAGCATTTCCTGTACAGGTTTCAAGTTTTGTAACATTTTGACTTTGTTATGAAGATGGTTAATATCTTAGTGTAAACCCTTCAACAGTAACTCTCTTCACTTTCATAGTCATCAGCTATTAGTTAAAGTCATATCACCATTTCACAGCACCATCACAGAAGCCACACATCTTTGTTTTCTCTGATTATTTTTATAGATAGGATTTTCACCTCCATAGCAAAATATAATGTAGCATCTTACAGTAATATACTTTTAAGCTACCCTCCAAAATTGTGTTAACTTTTGTGATTAGACTATTTCTTCATAAAGAGTATTATTTTTGCAAATGTTATCTTCTCTTTGAAATAACAGGGAGAATATGTTGCTGCAGTTCGTGACTTTTACCTGTCTGTTTATTTTTTCAAAAAGAAAACAACATCAAGGTAAGAATTCCTTTTTTTTTTTTCCTGTTCTCAAGAGTTTGTTAATAGCTTTATTTTATCTTCATAAGTGACCGATTGTTGTTCCTGTTTTCAATTTACAAATGATTGGGAAACCAGAATATAGAGAATTTTTACCCACAGTGTGTAGGCCAGAGGGAATTTCTAGTCGCAAAACCCTAATGAGCTCTTTTTTGCATCCCAGTTCACTTAGGTTATAACATGCATACTTAGGGCCAAAATTGCAAGTGGTTTGAAGAAACTTCCCAGTTAGTTCTCATTGCCATTTCATGCCTTTTGGAATGAATGTAGTCTTGGATACGTGGGTTTGAAATGAATCATATTTGTTATGTTTCAACTTTTCACACCTCAGATAAAAATTTAAATATTTAAATAAAATAATTTAAATGGGGACAGTAACATACTTCATAGAGTTGTAAGGATGGATAAGGTAATGTTTAAAGGGACTAACACTGGCTAAACATAGTCAACTTTTCAAGTGCAGCCCTCTGCAGAGACTGATTATTTTTATTTGCAGTATAATCAGGATCCCAATATCTTTGGACGCATTAGCTAATTTTCTCAGCTATAATTTCGTGGGTTTATCTATTTCACATGCTAAAACTTAGTTTCAACCAGAAATTTTTTTTTTTTTTTAAGATTGATTTATTTATTCATACAGAACTGGGGTACAGGCCAGAGATGTGGAGGGTGAGAGGATTCACCAGAGACAGAGCGGGGAGCAGAACAGGCAGAGCGAGGAAGTACACAGCTGAGGGGAGCAGCGGGCGGGTCAGGAGAAGTCTGCCTCGCCGTGTGGTCACCTCCGGGGCAGGCAGGGATCGAACTCAAAATGTGAAAGTGGCGTTAGCTTCCCAGTGCTGTTCTTTAACCCGCTGCGCCACCAGGGAGGGCCTCAGCCAGAAATTGTCCAAGAAGAAAGCTACTAAGTGATTGTCTTTTCCTTCACTATCAGTAACCTCTGTGACAAGTTAATTATGGTAGAATGTTAGCCATGTGAAGTTTATATTTTATATTAGACATGTAAAACTTTCAATTACAGTTTTTTTGGTCCCATCCTGCACTTATATAAGGATATTCTGGTAGCTCTCCACTTTGGGTTGATAAGGGCAAGAACTTCCTTTTAACTATATTACTACTTACCAAAAAGCTAGTAATCTAAAGAGGATATTTTGGTTTTTTTCTAGGTTTACTTTATCGTCATCAAGAAATAAGAAACATTCTAAGAACAATTTTACATGTGTGGCATGTCACCCAAAGGAAGACTGCATAGCTACTGGTCACAGGGATGGCAAGATCCGTCTGTGGTCAGTTAACCTATGAAGACTGGTGATCATTGTGTCATTTATGTGAATCCTGCAGAATAGGCCTATCTCTAGGTCCAGCATAAAAGCTACTACTGAAAAGATGCTCCTGACAATAGAAGTTAGGTTTTGTTGGCATCCTCCCTTTCTTAATCACTGTGTCCTTCATTGTATAGTCTCACTATTTTAGGATCCTTAACATGGGACTTGAAAAGAATGACAGTGAACTATTCCTAATGGTATGCCATGATGTTATATTGTTTGTGGCAGTGACTGGAGAAAAAAAATGTACTTTGTACACGTTGAAATCCATAAACTTGATAATGTGATTATTATGTTTGGCATGTATTTGGCCCATTTTATTTGGCATACCATTATTCCCTTAATTTGATAATGTCTTTGTCAAATTAAGAATTGGGGTTTTTTACATTAAGAGAAACTTTTTATTTTAAGAAACACTAGTTTATAATATCAGGTTTCAAGGAAATATCACTATAATTCAACATTTGTATACATAAAGTTTTCGCTGAAATCTTACTCTGTCCTTCACAGTGCAATCAACCCCTTTATCTGATGTCCCCCCTCCCCACCCTTTCCCTTTTGGTAGCCACTGATTTGTCCTTACAGTCTAAACTTTTTGTATTTAGTTTATTTGCCAGATATGAGTGTTTTGCTCCATCTAATTTAAATTTAATAAGCATAATACCCTGTAGGTCATCCATGTTGTTGCAAATGGCTCTCTGCTTCCTTCTCCATTTCCAATAGGAGGAATTTTGATGATGATAAGAAATACACATACACATGCTTACATTGGCATCACGATATGGTTATGGATTTGGCTTTTTCAGTATCAGGTAAGTACAAGTTTAATAATTACAATGAATTTGTAAATTATGTGACTCAGATCTTTTATTTAATCTTACTTATCTTGGAAAGATTTAATATTACATGGCCCAAATGAATTATAAATATTTGTGTGACATCTTTGTTTTGCACAGCAAAATACCATAATAGGTTTCAAAGACCTTCATAATGTCTGAATCAACACCTGTGGCAACTATCAGTTACTGATATAAGGAACATATTTAAATTATTAACCTTTTATAGCTAAGTGCTTGTTCACAAGGCAGCAACAGCTTCTCAGATGGAAATGGCTGTACTAGTGTTTTACATCCATTATTTTAGCTACTACTAAGAAGCAGGGAATCATTCTCATTTACAGATAAAGGAAGTGAAGATCTATAGCTAAGAACTAAATTGCCTACGGTCATGGTTAGTAGGTGGGATTTGGCACTACATCTAATAATTTTTAAATATTAGTTTGCTCACTACATTCACTCATTTAAATTAACTCAGACCTTTGTTCTGTGAAACTGTGAGTCAGAAACTATAAGAAAATATGGTTGTAGTGAGGAGAAATAACCTTGAATTGAAAATTCAATAGAAATTTCAAAAAATACATTCTGTCATTAGTTAGCACTCTCACCCGTGTTCTGAAAGTTACATCAGTATATTTTGAGTGGCCCTAAAAAAAAGTAGGAATTTGGTGTTAGAGATATGTGCCTAGAGAAAGGGATTTTTCTTTCTACAATCTTCCTAGAAACCGCTATGGAAAATTTAGATAGTGTCATGTACTCTGAGTCTTTACAGGGATTTAACTGAGTGGATACTCAGGAAGTAGGAGGTATCTTCAGCCTATGTGTCCTGCAGGTCTGGAGAAAAGCAACTAGTATATGGAGGTGGGACCCAACCTAAGACACCAGCAGTGGGAGAGCAAGAATTTAGTTGTGATATATGGAAACTAAGGCTTGCAAGAGAGCAAAAAGGATATTGACCCTACAAATAAGAGATGCAAACTTCTCTTCCTTTACTCTCATGCCACCAGCCTGTCCCATGTAAAATAAAGTATGTATATGCCTTATATAGGTACAGGTCATTTTCCAAGCAGTGTTTTCATTCTTTCCTAACTTAAAGCTGCTTCAGCTGCTTCTCCTCTGGAAGGTATTTTCTGTGCTGTGGCCCCTTCCGTACCAGAGCCAAGACAATTGATAGTTATGGTCTCTATGACTTTTTTCTGAATGCATTTTGTCTACCATCTCACACACTGGTTAGCAGTCACAGCTTTCTGTGGTGTCCTTACTTTACCCTTAAGTCCTGGGACAGTTAGGATTGGCCTTTTCAGGTGGAACTTGGGGAAGAAGTGAAAGACTAGATAGCACTTAAAGGGAAAGAAAGATATAAAGTATCTCTACTGCCACTGGGGGTTTTGGTGTAGAAGTTACTACAGGTATTTGTATCTAATAAGAAGTTAAATTATTGGTTTTAAGTTATACAGATAATTGTAAATAAGAAATCGTAGTTACATGTACTATGTGAGTGTCAATAAAATGTCAGTACTGACTCTAGTAGTAAGTGTATTAATCGGAGAAAAAATTATTTGTGTAAGGAACTACAAGTTGGTTTTGAGAACTATGTATTTTGTTAAGGCAAATGTTAACAGTATAGGATTATTTTGACTATCCTGTGAATGCAGTCATGCTGCCTGTGAGCACTAATTTCCTTCAATCTGATCCTTAAGCTTTGTCTCATTTCAGCACACTAGAAGCTTCCATTAATGTTGATCAAATGCAAATATTAAAGTAATTCCTGTAATAAACTCAACTCTGCAATGATATTTTATCCTTTTACTATGTCATGGCTGTAGCTTTCTAGTATTTTGCTTAGAAATTTTCATCTCATAAAATTGGCTTATTTTCTTAGAGTGTGCTGGCTTTGGTATAGAATTATGCTGGTCTCATGAAACAATTTGGGCAATTTTTCTTTCTTTATTACCTAGAAGAGTAAACTTATTTCTCCTATAAATATTTGGTGGTTTCATCAATAAAGCCTTATGGTGAAAGGATGTTTCATTCCATTTTTCTGGTTACTGACAAAAGAGCTGGTCAGCAGCAAGCCAGTCTGTATTGGAAAGGACAGTCCCTAAAACTGGTCATCGTTAACGCTGTTTTAAGAGTATATTAAAAAGACATGAAAACATTGTTTGAAAAGAGGTTATTTCTCTAACCCAGTAGGATCAGTGAAAATGTTGATTTTATATATATATGTATTTTTTTTTTTTTCCCTTTTCCTTTCTGTGGATGGTGAATGAGAAGGCACCAGCCTGTTGAGCGGTGGCCGTGAGTCGGTCCTTGTAGAGTGGCGCGATGCGACAGAGAAGAACAAGGAGTTCCTCCCCCGCCTAGGGGCAACGATTGAACACATCTCAGTCTCACCTGCTGGGGATTTATTCTGTACTTCCCACTCTGATAACAGTCAGTCTAACATTCTTTCTTCTGAGAAAGTATAATTTGAATGATGTTATTAAATTAACCTCTGTAGGAAATGAAAAATAAGAAACCTAAAACTAAAAGTGACATGAGTTTTACAGAGTTCTTTTGTTGTTTTTGTTTTCTTTTAACTTTCATGTATCTTCTTTTCTTCACTCCTTTCTGCCCCTAAATACTATCAGAGTTGAGCATTTATACATTTGATTTTATGAAAATGTGTTTAGTTTTATGACTAAATGTATTTGGCTATAATTATGCTAGTTGTATCTTCAAAGCATTTTCATTTGGGGAAGGGAGGGAGGATTTTTAAATAGGCATCTTGCTTTCACAAGTGTAGTGGCATTTTCAAGAGTGCTGTAAGATTTTCTTTTAATGAACTAGCCATTACCTTGTGCTAGGATTCTGTAGATTCTTACAGAAATGGAAGCAATCTTGTATTCTTGTAAAAAGCTTTTTGCTCATTCTGTTACTATGTAGCCTAAAAGGAGCCTCTCCCCTGCTATACTCTTCCCCTTCAAAGAAGAACATAATTGCAAGCAATCTATTAGTCATGTGACTTATTTCAAAGGAAACAATTTAACTGTCTCTTTTAGGACATTTAAGTTTCTGAATTAACATTTAAAATCCCACCCTTCATTTTCTAGCTAAGTCACAAAAAAATGTTTCAGAATTTCTAGTAAATTTAGCTTAGATCTTTTATTTTTCTAATTTCTGACCTATTTATGTTTAAGCATTTGTATTTTTTGCCCTAGAGATCATAGTCATTCACCGAAACCTTGAGGCATCTGCTGTAATTCAAGGTCTAGTGAAAGGTATGACTGAACCCAGTAGATTTGGTATCCTGTGTTTTTTTTTTTAAGTGATTGTTTGATTTCAGCTTTGTTCTATCACTCCTTTTGCAGACAGTAATATCTTTACTGGTTTAATGATTGATCCACGAACAAAAGCTTTAGTTTTGAATGGAAAACCCGGCCATTTGCAGTTTTATTCTCTCCAAAGTGACAAGCAATTATACAATGTAAGACTTTGATTCACTAAATATATTAAAACTAGTGAAAATTCTTTACCTGTGGGGCCTAATAACTTACTTGATTAGTTGTCCAACAAGATGAATGTAGTTATTTTGATAACCTTTAGTGTGGTTAACTTGTTTACAGCCTAATTCTAATATAGTCCTGATTACATATTAAATTTCCACATTAGCCAGCTGGCATTGTTGTGTTTGTGCCATTTGTTGGTTTTTTACTTAATGCTTCCTTCTAATTAGCTGTAGATTAATGGTACAAATATGCCTGCTGTGCAGTGATGTCATATGCTTAAAAAAGATAGTTTTCTTTGTATATTAAAGGATAAATATGATCTAGATTCCTCCCACGTTTTCCTTTTATAAATTTCTTTCATAATAGCTCAAACACTTTATTACTTTAAACCTCAAAAAAAGAAATTTATTGATCTTTGTATATTTTAAAACAATGCTTGGAAATAGTAAGCACTTAATAATACACATTTAGTAAATAGATGAAGAAATAGGATTTAGAAACCACATTAAAATGCGGACTTTCTTAAAACATTGCTTTAACATTTAATAATGTATTTACATATAATACATATACAAATAATTATTTGGTTTTTTTTTTTTAACACATCAGTTAGATATTGTACAACAAGAATATATCAATGATTATGGTCTGATCCAAATTGAGCTAACAAAGGCTGCATTTGGCTGCTGCGGTAACTGGCTTGCAACCGTGGAACAACGTCAAGAAAAAACTGAGCTTGAATTGCAAATGAAACTGTGGACATACAATAAGAAAACACAAGGGTAATACTTCCTATATAAACATTAATTTCTAAGGGGAAACAACCTGTTTTGTTAATGGTTTCACTTGTCCATATTTAAGATATTTTAATAAGTTTTAGATTTAGAGATGAGGGAGGTGTTCCAATAAAGCCTTGAAGCACTGTGTTCTGCTCCAAGTTACAATATCATCTCACTGTATAAAATAAGGAAACATGGAAAAGTGATAACTCCCAAGGACATAATACCTAATTCAGGCAAATTTAATATTAGAATCTAAATGCCTTAGTTCCTTTGGCCTTTTTTAAACATCAGAACTACACTCCGAAAAATTGGCAGCAGATATAATGTAATGTCACATGTGTATTAGCACTTTATCAAGTCCTTTCTGTGTGCCAGAAACCAGAAACTAGGCCCAGTGTGTTTAGACTCACTGTCTTAATAATCTTTGCAACACCACTGGAAGATAAGCCTGTGGTCCACATTTGACAGGTGAGGAAATTAATTATGACTTCCCTAATCACACTCTTAAAACCTGGACTTTTTAAATATCCCAACACTATCGTGATGTACTTTTAAGAATATAATGTTAACACACATTGTCTTTTCATTTACAGCAATACCCTGTCAAGCAGGAAACAAGCTTTAAGAGGCAATTTAGGCAACTATAATATTAAATATTGACCAGGAAGTTTATTTAAATAAGTCGTTTTCTTTTCTTTTTTTTTTTTTTTTTGATGACCCCTATTTTACACTAATTTGGACCAGTAAGTTGACACTGCATATAGTCATCTTTATATAAAGTAAGTTACATGAGGACAGAGACTGTGTATTAGAACTGGTGAAATCCTGTAGCTGTTAAAGACAGAACATTTAGTAATGTGTCATTCTTGAGGATGCTATTGTAATATGTACATTGTGGAAAAAATACTTAAATTTGAAAGTATGCCATGTTGCCCTAGTGTAAGAATAAATTGCTTGTTTATTTCCTGCTAGCTTTGTTCTCAACACAAAAGTTAACATGCCGCATGAGGATCACATCACAGCTCTATGTTTCTGTAATGCACAAAAATCTGAAAACCCCACCTTGGTTACAACTAGTAAAGACGGTCTCTTCAAAGTGTGGATATTAACAGATGACTCAGATATATACAGTAAGTTGACTGAATGTGGTGTATCTAAAAAGTACACAGTTTTAAGATTTATTTTATCTGTGATTTGTATCCTTCCTCGGAAGACATTTTCTACCTTGTTTAATTTTCTAGGTTATTACCAAATTGATTTTAAAGAATTTAAGAGATTATATTTTGGCATGCTTTTCCCCAAACCTATACATTACTTAAAATATGCTTGATTAATCATCTGCCTGTTACTCCACTTTGTTGAAGATACAACAAAAAGATCTTTTGCAACTAGTCCTTTTACTTTTCCACTAGGGGGAGGTCGAGGTCCCAGGAATGAGGATAGATTTCAAATCAGTGCTTTGTAGCACTTTTGTGTTACATTGGTTTCTTAACCCTGTTGCTTACAACTTCAGAAAGATGTTATCTAGCATGTATGCCACTTCTAAGCTCTACATTCTGTATTTCCACAGAAAATGCTGTTGGCTGGACCTGTGATTTTGTAGGTAGTTATCATAAATACCAAGCAACTAACTGCTGTTTCTCTGAAGATGGCTCTTTATTAGCAGTTAGTTTTGAGGAGATAGTTACAATATGGGATTCAGAGACATGGGAACTTAAATGTACATTTTGTCAACGAGCTGGCAAAATAAGGTAAGTAAATAATTGGGGAATCTTGCATTTTTTACATTAGGTGAAATGAGTATTGGAAAAATGGCCGGTGGCTACTGAAATTATTTCCAATTCCCAGTATGTATGATTCTGAATTTTTTTTTTTTTTTTGATTTTCAAATAGTTTATATTGCGGATTTTCCAAGTGAGCGTTAGAAAGGATTTTTGTTTTACAGTTTTGAATATCCCACATTTTCTTGTATGTGAATGATTTCTGCACAGCATACATGGAGAAAACAGTTGTTCATCAAACCTGCTTTCCTAAAGAAACAGTTTCTTCTGTATTCTTTAATCCTTTTTAACTTTTATAGGATAACTAGGAACAAAACATGTCCATCTAAAATCTGCATCGCCTAAAACTAACTGTGCCTATAATGTGTAATCCTTTGTGACTAATAACTCCTTGTGGTTTTAATCTAGGCATCTTTGCTTTGGGAGTCTGACTTGTTCCAAATATCTTCTTGGTACTACTGAAAAAGGCATTCTTTGTTGTTGGAATCTGCTCAGTTGTGCATGTAAGTCTTTCTGGTTTTTTTTTTTTTACAGTGAAGTGTCTTGGCAAAGCTTTTGAACCTTGGCACTGTAGGACTTCTGGATGATAACTACATTTTCTCTATCCAGAAAATACATCATTTTTCACATGTCACTTTATGCTACCAAAATTTGGAGTAAATAGGTCTTGAATAGATTGAGCTTGTATATAAAATTTAATTCTCAATAAATGAACTTTTGTCTTTCCACTGTCTTCAGTGACGTATGGTTCCATATTCTTCATCCTATCTGCAGAGAGCTACTGCTTATAATGCATATTAACATAACAGTATCCCTGACAGCTTTAAATTTGAAGGTAGCCTGCCATGATCCTAACAAATGTTGCATTTTATTCAAGTCTGTATTTAAAAGATTTAGTTATTCCTTAGTAATCAATATGCCTACTTACAGCTTTTTATATTTGTTCATCAACTGGTTACCATTTTGCTCACATTTAGTGTTAGAGGAAAAACATCAGCAGTTGCATTGAAATAATAACTATATTTCATTGTGTATGGAAGGAGATGTTTGTTGTTACTCTGCTTCCTGGTCCTCACTTTAGTGCAGCCTTTGCAGATAATTTCAGTGTGTCTCCAAATGTTATTTAGAAGCATAAAAAATAAATTGTAGTAATATTGTCCTGTTAAAGATTACGAGCAACTACTTAAATAACAGACTCAAAAGAATTTTTGGTTAATAATCTTAAAAGTGAATCCCTTTTTTCTTCCTAGTGGAATGGAGTACAAAATTAAATGTTAGAGTCTTAGAACCTGATCCTAATTCAGAGAATGTTGCTGCAATCTCTCAGACTTCAGTGGGTTCAGATTGTAAGTACTGACTATACTTTGTTATTGATTTGAGGTATGCTGTTTTTTCCCCCCCTTATGTCTACTTCATCTCTGTCTCCCATCTCTGGCAACCACCAGCACTCTCCAGTTGCCACAGCCACCAGAGCTCAGTGATCTAGGGGCATCCCCTGGACAGCAGCCAAAAAAATATTCAGGCACAAAATACTGAGCTCAGTGATCTAGGGGCATCCCCTGGACAGCAGCCAAAAAAATATTCAGGCACAAAATACTGAGGATGCAGTTTCCCTCCAAGGGACACTGGCACTCTGAGCTAGGGGAGAGCTGCTCTGGAGAAAACACCCTCTGAGGTCTCTAGAAAGGTTTATAGTCAGACCCTAAATAAATGTTTAATTTGAAACTGCCCTTCAGGCTGCAGCCTCAGGATTCACGTGAATAGTTCTCCAAAAAAAAGGAGAGCTCCTGGCTATGTGGCCTCTTGTGATGCCCTGGGGTAGCAGCTTTTGAGAAGCACTCTCTCCATTGGCTCCACTCTGTGGACCAAACAGTATACATTCTTCACTGGTCACCTAAGCTGGGCATTGCAGAGATGTCCTGTGGCAGCAACAGCAAAATTTGGGCATCAGACAGGTATATGAGCTCCTTTTTTGGTAACAATGGTCATTAAAGTCCATGAACATGGGTTGCTGGCTGTGTAGGAGTCACTGGTGCTATGGAGCAGAGCAAAGGAAAGATTGTATCTGCCAGTGTCCCCGAAGAATGTTCCAGTAAGGTTCTAGGTGTATGATTAATTAGATGCATGTCCCTCGGACTGATGTTTTTAATAAATAGTTTTAAATCAGAGTATGGTCAGCTGCCTCTGAAGACCGCTCTAGGGAAGATGAATTTAAGTTTGGGAGCCCTCTAAGCACCTTTTCACAGATAACTTCAGTCCTGTGAGTCATGGGTTAAGACCCCATTGGTTTCAAAGTTAGGTAATTTGGTGACTCATCTCTCAGGTGCGGTCTTAAAAACTCATGTGACTGATGTGGAGTTTGAACCCTTTACTCCTCAGCGGCAAGCTGTAGGTTTACAAGGTTGCTGAATCAGTGTTGGGGTTTAAGACAAGATTATGTCCTAGCCTCTGTTACCCTCCTCAATGTGGATTTCTTGTTTGTCTAGTATGTAGTAGTCATCACTCAGCCAACCTTCGGATTTTTAGAGGAAAATAATTCCATATGTAGCTATAAACAGTGAATTTAGGATCCTCCTATGTTATCACCTTAACTGACACCCCCTCCATAGTATGATATTAAGAGGGTTCTTTTTAAAAAATGTCTTTAACCTTTAATATAGCTTGAGCCTTCAAAACAGCTGCTAAGTTGAAGCCATCTTGCCTGAGGCACTCCTCCTCTTTTGAGTCTTTACAGCATATAGCACATTGCTATGAGTGCATTTATGAGTTCTAGAACAGTCCCAGTATAACCCTCATTTTTCAACATGGCAATTCTTAAACCTTAAAATCCAAGATAGATGCACCTTTTTATAGAATTCCCATTTCCCTGAGATGTTAGTCACTTCTCCTCTGCTCTTGAGGCATCTCCTGTATATCTCCTTTCTTGTACTTAAGACAGTAAACTTCAGGGAGGTTTTGGTGTCAGTCCTCGGCAGTAGATCCTGGTGTCTCCTGTAGGGGTTTCTTTTCTTTCTCTTTTTCATCTTCATAACCCAAATTCCTAAACTAGTTGGCATATAAGTAGGCACCCAGTAGATAATTTGTTGTGTCAAAGACTAACATAACTATGACCTACGTCATTACTCAATGGAGTTAGTCTCAGACTTACGATGGCTGCCAGTCTGGAAGCAGAACTAACCTTTGCAGGCAAAATGTTATTGTCTGTCTGTTTTTTTCCCCTCTAGTGTATGTATTTAAACCTAGTGAGCCAAGGCCATTGTACATTCAAAAAAATATCTCCAGAGAAGAAGTCCAGTGGGGAGTGTTTGTTCCACGAGATACCCCTGCATCATTCACCTCAGAAGCTTATCAGTGGCTGAACAGATCCCAGTTTTACTTCTTAACAAAATCACAGGTAACAATTCCCCCTCAAAATGCAATCATTTTCATGTGTAATTTTCATTTCTTTTAAAATTTGATAGTAATATTTAGCCCATCATAACAGGTAGAATGGCTTCAATTAGGATTACTTGCTAAAAGATTTTCTTCTAATATAGTCAGTACTTCTTTAAGTATCACTTGCATTAATTCTAGGACAGCAAAATTCAGAAGACAAAATACTTAAAGTTGTTTTTATCATAGTTAATTTTTGTTCTTAAGAAACAGTGGAATTAGGATTTCATCTTTATTACTTTCTTGTGGGAAAAAATATGTGACTATGAAAAGTTTACTTCATTAATCGATCTTTCTTTTCAGAGTTTATTGACACTTGGTACAAAATCTCCAGAAGAGAAACTCACACCAACAAGCAAACAAGTAGGTTTTAGCCACTCATTGCACAAACTACTTCACCTCCCTACAAGAATAAGGCTGTCTTTTAGAACTCAGCCATGAGGACAGACTTTTCACCTGCCCTGAAATGGAGGACATTTAAAAATATACACATAAAAATCTCTTGCCTCACTGGATGTCATGTTGCTCTTTTCAGATGTAGTTTTAATTTGTAATGCTGATAATCATATGCTTGTGGTTTGAAGAGTCAAATACTTCTCCAAGACTTTTCAGGGAAAACATTTCAAGCACCACTGTCATTATTCAAATATGGTAACCACACTCAACTGATTTAGCTGGAATTTTTATTTACATGCTTTTCTAAAAAGATTGTGTATATTGCTAATTCTGTTTTTTCCTTAGATTTCAGTATTTTGTTAACTTTTATCTGTTGAAGTTGACTTTGTAACTTTTTTCATACCACTACTCCACCCTCAAACACATATGTGCATACGTACATACATAGGTGTGCACACATACTTCGTGGTCAGTCGAGAGAATTTTTAAATTTGGTTAGTATTCGTTATCATAACCATGTAAGTTTAATTCATAGCCACGCCATTAGTGATAGATTATTTGTGACCCACTTTTTGTTATTGCTAGAGTTAATACTTGCCCCTTCTTTTCATTTCCCTAGTTTTCAGTTTATTTTTCACCCCTGCACTACCCTACCCAAGTTGTATAAATCTCTCACTATTTTCAAGCACATTATTCTTTTGAGTCTTGAGGAAATACCTCTTAGAGCTTCTGATATGCTTTAATTTCTATAAACCTGCAGCACAGAAGGTAGAAAGGATCTCTATGTGCACCAGCATTCTGGGATTGGTTTCACTTCCAATGTAATAGATGCCCTATATTTCCTTTCTTTGGTCATTCCTTTGCCGTAGTGAAGATCATGCTTGTTTGGAAATGTTTCTGTTCTCTCCTACTTGATCATCAAATTCTAAGTTGAAAATCACCTTCTCTTGGGTCTTTGAAGGTATTATAGTTTCTGGTTTTACTAGAAGTCTAATAACATCCTTGTTATTGATCCTTTATCTCATGTGACTTGTTTATTCTCCTCTGAAAACTCTTAGAATTCATTTGACAATATTTTGATTACCTACATACTAAGAGCTGTTTTAGACACTGAGGTCATCAGTGAGTAAAATAATCGCGTCTGACCCGGTAATGTGTGTACTCTAAAGACTGTATAGACAACAAACAGTATTAAATAAGCAGGTAGGTAGTGTTTTAGAAGGTAAGAATTACGGGATGAGGAATAAAGGGTAAGGGTAGGTAGAGTATATCATGCCATTTTTAATAGAAAATTTACAATTTTTTTTTTTTTTTAACTTTTCCTCTGGAGTAAAATATGGAGTTTCTTAAAAGGATTTTGATCAGAGAATAATTAAGGATAAATTGCTTTAGTCTTCATATTCTCAGTTCTTTTTCTGGAATTCCTTTTATTTAGTGCTGGACCTTCTAAAATGGTCCTCTGATACTATTTTTTTCTCCTGTTCTGTGGGTGATACCTTCATCATTTCCATATTTGTTTCTTGCATGGTCCAATACCATCATTTTTTCCATTTTCACCATATTTTGATTTATTGTTTTAGATGTTTTCAAATGATTCTTGGCTGTCTGCTCTTATTTGCAGCCAGATTGCAGTGCTGCATCCTAACCTGTTGTGCCACCAGGGAGGGCCTGTCTGTTCTTATTTGAAAATGAATAAAAGCCACTTGAAAGTTCAAGCCTTGGTATGGAGCTCATCCACTGTCTGAAGAACATGGCTGAATTGTTTTGAGAAAGTTGCCACATCATTGTTTTTAGGTCTTTTTCTCAGACAATTCTCCTGAGTTCTTACTTGAAGGAGTCTTGACCCAGCTGCAGTGTTCCAAAAAGCACCTTCTATTATGTACAGCTACTTTGGGCTGTGCAAACACCTACCCCTATCCCCTAGCCCCAAGCAGTCCAGTATAAAAACTTGTTTCAGTTTCCAAAGAATACACTGCCAGCCCCTGTTTGGGCTGAGGTGATGTGGGAATCTTAGTATTCTTAAAGTATACCTTAAACTAAGATACATGATGCTTTTTTTTTTTTTAATGCCCTTCACAAGGGTACTGTTAGTACTGATTCTTGAGTATTTATGGGTCCTGTAATATAAACTGGGGTGCTTCTTGATTCTCACAATCAACTTAAAATGTTGCTTTCTTGAGTCTGCTAAGTTGAAAAGCCCTATCAGTTACAGGATTTTAAAGAAGTGGGAACTGTCTGTTTTGTTTTATTATTTAAGTGTCCACTGTTAGCCTTTCCTATAGTGAGTGACTTCTTGATAAGATGATTTTCACCTAGAATTTGATAATCAAGTGGGAGAGAACAGAAACAGAAACATTTCCAAATAAGCATGCTCTTAAATGAACAACTCACATTAGATAATTTCTGTAGTTTGTTCAATCCCTGACATTTTGTGACTTGTAGTGCTTTGGAGTCAGATGCAAATGCTCCTTCTCTTTGGAGTAACTTATATCCCCATTTCTTTTAAATTCTTCTAGTTAATAGCGGAAGAAAGCCTTCCGACAACCCCATTTTATTTTATACTGGGAAAACACAGGCAACAGCAGGATGAAAAATTAAGTGAAGCTTTGGAGAATGAACTGGTACAATTACCCTTAACAGAAAACATACCTGCAATAAATGAGGTAAGTAATTAGATTAAATGAATGAAAGCACCTTAATCTGTGTATAACAAATAACTGGAATAATCTGTATACTATGCCAACTTTAATGCACAAACCAAATAGTGCAAATTTATAATTTCAGAATGTTTTGACCTGGGAGAGGTGATTGGTTACACAAACGTTAGAAAGTAGGCATAGATTTTTCCTTTGGTTGGGATTTTCTGTGGGAATTATTTTTCGTGTTTTGCTGAGGTATTTTACTTTATTATATGAAGCCCTGTTGTTTTTATTCTAGCTTCTTCACACTCCAGCCCATGTATTGCCATCTGCTTCTTTCCTGTGCTCCATGTTTGTAAATTCGTTGCTTCTCTCTAAAGAGACTAAAAGGTAAAGCAGTTCTTAAAATGTTTTAGTATTCTGTTTTGGGGAAACAAGATGGTTTGTGTTAACCCTTCATTATAGTACTCCTCAACTGTACATATGAAAACTTTTCAGCTTTAACATGTAATCAGAGCATATAGGAGAAATAAGATACATTGAAAATTAGTGTCAGACCTTTTGTGAGTGTTTTAAGGGTTTGGTATACTTTCAGAATTACATTATTCATAAATTCACCATAATCTTGAAGTGCATGCCATTTGTTTTTGTTTTGTTTTGTTTTTAAAGATTTATTTATTCATATAGAACTGGGGTACAGGCCAAAGATGCGGAGGGTGAGAGGATTCACCAGAGACAGGGTGGGGAGCAGAACAGGCAGATCTATGAAGTACACTACGGAGGGGAGCAGCGGGAGGGTCAGGAGAGGTCTGCCATGCCATGTGGATCTCCTCCGGGGCAGGCAGGGATCGAACTCATGTGGAAGTGGCTTAAGCTTCTCAGTGCAGTGCTTTAACCCGCTGCGCCACCAGGGAGGGCCTTGTTTTGTTTTGTTTTTAATGTTTTTTGTTCATAATATTTCTAGGTATGTCTTAAGTTAGGAAATTATTTTGATGTGTATTTTAATTGTATGTCTGTGTGCGTATAATTGTTTATTTTTTAAGTGCTGAAGAAATTCCTGAAGAAGAAGACATGGAAGAAGAAAAAGAAAGTGATGACTCAGATGAAGAAAATGACTCTACAGAAAATTTTCAGGACACAAGTAACACAGAAATGGGAGAAGATGTTATACATCAGCTGTCAAAATCTGAAGAAAAAGAACTGAGAAAACTCAGGAAAGTAGACTACAGCTGGATAACAGCTCTTTAATCCTTGGAAATCGAAAGGGGTTCTTGCACTTTTATTTTTTTAATATTTGTTGATAACTTTGTAAGCATCTATTTTAATGTTATTTCTGTTCTTAAAATATTAAATGCTTTTTAAATAACTGGTAGTATGAAACTATTTTTGAGTCATTTATTAGCCTTATAAAAAAGCTAGATTTTCTTTACAGGTGATATTGCAGAGGTGAGACTTGAACTTAGACAGCATAGGTCCCAGAAGTTGCAATTTGGAGTTACAAAAAATTTGGAAAATCAGGCTTTTTTTAAGTGTCCCAAGTGGGTTACCAAATGTGTCCCAAAGTGATAGGAGCTCTTCATCCTTTTTAATATATATTTACTTATTTTAGAAAAATGATTTGATTATATGTTGGTCTATAGGGTCCATTGGCGGTATCATGATATGGGTTGCCTAAATTCTGAAAAATTCTAAGTTTGTGTCATCTGAGCCCAAGCCTTCAAGATCAGGGCTTTCTACAAAACTTACAAAATAAATTACATGGCATCCTTGGAAGATAAGAGCTGTATTATACCATCAATATTATGGCTATTCTGAGTCAAAGAGCAGCTAGCCAAAGTCCCATTGTTACTGGGCAACCCCAGTGCGAAATGGGGTGGCCTGAGTGTAGGTCCTCACCCATGCACAGACAATATATAGAGGTTGAGTCCATTATAGAATCTCTGGCCCCTTTCAAATTCTCATATTCTACATAGCTATCCAAACAAGGCAATTAAACCTAGGCTCACAAAGAGTGAGCCCTTCAGTGCAGCCTCTATGCCAACACGGTACAGCAGTCCTGCCCACCTCTGACTATGTGGGTTCTTTTTTTCACCAACCCTCTCCCTCTGCAGGGCAGCAGCCTCCTTCCTGCCCATGACCTGTACCCTGCCAGAGTTTCTCTTCACTGACCTCCCTCAGCGGAGGCCACACTCTTCAAGGCCACCCACCTGAAACCAATGAGGCCTCTCTCAGCCAACCTGTCCCTTTTGGGACAGCTCTTCCTGCCTGTGTCTATGCAAATGTCTTATCCTTTTCTGCCTCTCTTCTAATAAACCTACTCTTTGAATATAACCAGTGTCACTGTGTCATGGAGAAATACCTGGAGAACTCACCACATGCCACTGAAGAGCGCTCTGGTGAAGCCTTTTTCCCATAGTGAACCCAAGACCCCGCACTCCAAATGCACTTAATCCAAAACAACATCAATACTGCCTTCAAACTCCAGTGTGAATTTTATGCTTAAGACACATCTAAGTTTGGAAACCCACATTTCTAGTGTTCAGTAGTAGCCACATGTGATTGCTGGCTACCATTTTGAGCATTTCTAATGTATACACACACTAAGTGAACTTGAAAAAAAATTTTTTTTAATGTGTTAGCCTCCATATTCTTGTCTTCCCCATGGAGTGAGGCATAGTGATAGAGTTGAAAATAAATTTGGTAACTTATTTTGCCACATACACACACTGACCAACAAATCTGTTTATGACAGTTTAAGTAGTTATGTATGAAAGATGTCATACTTCTATAATCAACATGGCTTTTTTAAATAGTGGTTATTTTATAACCTGAATAATTTTTAAGTATGGATTCAGCTTTTCTAAACAAGTAGGTCACCTTTACCAAAACATACCAGCCAGACTAGAGTTACGATTCTATCTGACACTTTTTTCCCCAAAGCCAAGTGGACAGATAAAAGGGGAATGGTCAGTCTATCCTTTAAATCTGAGTTTTTGTTAAGCACATCTGGAGTGCTGTCCCCCATCACAGACACTGTTTCCATCCTACCAGGTGAACCCGTTAACTAATAACAAAGGGATTATTGCCTGGCATGTATTAGTTGGTCAAACCAAGTCCCAGATTGATGGCAGAGTCTATATGAACCCAAGTATGTTGTCAGACAAGGAGGATCAGCCTCATTCCTAAAGGGACATAGGAAGTTTTGTTGTTTAAAATGCATTTATAGGAGTTTTGTTGTTTAAAATGCATTTATCTATGCATACAAGAACTGTGGTAAAGGCCATTGGTGGTGGGCGGGTGAGAGGATTCACCAGAGACAGAGTGGGGAGAATAGACAGATTGACCGAAATACACTGCTGAGGGAAGCAGTAGGCAGGACAGGAGAGGTCTGCTGTGCCATGCGGGTCAGCACCCTGGGCAGGGACAGAACTTGTAGTACTCTGGCTGTGGGTGGCTTCATAGTGCTGCACTTTTGGCCTACTGCGCTAGCTGGGAGGGCCCAGGGACCGGATGTAAGGCTTTTATAGGATTATCTGTATTCAGACAGGGTGGTGTAGCAAAGTGGTTGGAGAGGCACAGTATAGTTTAATGACTAGATCATGCCTCTTCATGGATTGTGGGTTCAGAAAATGGTGACCAACTTTCTACATTTATTATGTAAATGAATATTAATGAACCCCAGGTAATGTTAGATTACCAAGGGTCTTCTCCACAAATGTGGGTTTATGTTGTAGACAATGTATCTTTGTACTATGACTGTAATAGAGGATTAACAGAAGCCTAGTCAGAACATAACCTTTGGTTAAAATTTAAGTCCTGTCAGTGACACTGATTTTTCTGAGGCTGCTTTATCTGTACTACTCTGAAAATTATGCTTTCCTTTGTTAGGCTTCTTGATAGCCTTGAAAATGACAAAGTTTAACACAAAGGCAATACCACATGATCCTAAATGAAAAGGTAAATCCTAGGAAAGATTTAGGATCCCAGGTAGATATTGATCAGTGAGATCAAAGAAAAAGAAAAAGACTAGGATTTGATAGTAGAATGCCTTGGAGAAGATAATGTGAGAAGTGCAGTGACAATTGTTTTTGTTTTTCTCAAACCGTGAGTAGACCACTGAACTTGAGTCATCTTAATTACATAATTAGACAATGACTTCTTACTGTTCTGATACCTTGACTACAAAGATTAGGGCAGTGTCTTACAGACCACTCTTCAAACCCATCCCCCAAATATGAAGAAATTATCACAAATACTATATTTGTAGTGCAAATGTTATCTTAGTCTCCCATCTTCAGGCAGGCAATACCTCTGACTTAGAAGCATCTTGGGAGATCAGAGCACTTAGTTCACAGATGAAATAATCAGACATGAAAGTGCACCAGTTCCTCCTATTGTTTCATCAAGTTTTGATAATCCTCATACTCAATGACGGCCTCCTTTAAAGGAAGGATGAACGTATTTGCTCTGAAAATAAGCATTTGAAATGCAAATATTGATCTTATATTCTCAGATAGGAAAGTAAGCTTAAACTTCTTGTTCCCTCAAAAATATCTGTCCACAGATGTGAAATGTGAGTCCACTAACCCAGGTGAGCAGTGGTTCATGCCAGAAATCACTGGTGAAGGTGTCAGAAGGCCCCAAGTTGGGAGGCTCCATCTCTGAATAGCTTTCTGCTTGCATTAAGTTATTTTAAGCCTAATTTTTTTTTAATCTCTAAAATAGAGAGCTGGTGTCATAATATGATCCTCTAGGACCTTTCATTGACTCAAATTGTGACTCTTCTAAGCAGCCAGAATTTTATTGGCCCAATGCAAAAAGATGTGTGACTTTGCTATTCAATTACAGCTGCCCCTGGTGCTGAAAGAAGAAATGAGAAGTTTAAAAGATTTCATTTCTGTGTGAAAGAAGATCCTGTACCTACTTCACAAGATGCCAAAGAACTGAACTTCTTTAAAACTTTAGCCAAGAGAACAGTACAGATCAGAACTCCTCATCAGCAACTTCTCTAAAAACCATGAGCAAAAATAAGCAATGGAATGAGGGGACAGAGAGTATGACACACAATATGTTCTCAAGTCTGTTGAATGGAGAGCACCAATCAAAAAAAAAAAAGAGAGAGAGAGAGAGAGATGTGTTAATAATTCTTACTTAAATTCAAAGTCATGGTGAAAATGAAGGAAGAGCCAAGACTTGTCCTATCTAATCAAATCTTTTCCTCAGGCTGTACCCAAAGCAGGGTCCTTATCAAATCTTTCCCCTGGAATCACTACAGAGTTGTATATTTTGCAACTTGGGCAGCACAGCCCATGAATTTGAGGCAGTAGAGTAGTAAAGAAAGTAGAATATTTGTGTTCTGGCCTTAGAATACTGTGCCTAACTAAGGATTTGAAGTTGCTCTCCACTCCGCAAGTCTGTCTATTCCTGGAGGAAAACTGACTTGTTTCCTGTTCCACAGATACTTAAATGCACATCAGTTCACATCCCCACAACTCATGTTTCGATTTATTCATTCTGCTCTCTCTTGGGACTCAAGCAATCATCACCCCCAACTTTCTATCCTTAATTAGCACTGGGACTCACTCCCTTAGCCATTGCAGTCCCCAAGGCCAACAAGTCTGTCTCCTCACCACCATCCTAGCACCTCCTGGGAACACAAGCCCCAGGCAAGAGCATCGTCCATCTGAGACTTGCTCAGAACTGAGGTCTCTGCCCCAGCTTGCTGACAGTGCAGCTGTCAAATAGCCCATAGCCTCACCCCCTGGCTAGACTCCCTAACACTCACTCCTCCTCTCTCTCAGCCTGGCCTATACTGATGTTGCTTGTTTGGGTGAATATATGTCCCTGGGAGAGGTAAACTGCCCCTGCAAGCCACAACGTAGGCAGCACAGCCCATGTTTTAGATGGTACAGAAGGGACAGTGGATGTCCTGCCCAGCACAGGGCTCAGGTCATAGGCCTTGCATGATAGTGCTGTACCCAAAGTAGCAAGTCCCACACAACCCTTTGCATCACCATCTAAGTTGTAGCCCTCCCACACCTGCTAGTATAATAGTGGTAAATAAGGTAAGAAATCAGTCCAGGGTCCCACTTGTGTAATTGCCTTCATTATCCTGGTAGGTGGGAGAACAGGATTGATCCTGATCCCCATCTGGCAGACAGCTCACATCAGCATCCAGGACTTCTGACTAATACCTGGTACCTTCCTCTCCCTGGGCTGGGCTGCCTCAGCCCCCTACCTTTGCTGAATGAGGAAGAGGAGACAGTATGCTATAAATGTCTCAGGGCTCCAGGACTCCAGCCATCACGTGGCCTTGATACTGTCTCTGTCTGGCCTGGTCCTTCTTTGGGAACTGCTACATATCCCACTAAGAATG